TTCAAGTTCTGGCATTTGCAATTTATCTAAAAATTGCTGTTGCCCCCTCTGTGTCCACGTATAGGCCTCTTGAGCCATACCTCTGAGTCTGTTCACGTGTTGACTTCCCGGGTCACACATGAGAGGGGGTGTTGAAGTGTATATGTGGATTGCCTAGCCCAACTCTGGTGCGAGACCACATATCCACTGTCCTATCATTTCTGACCAGTCCAGGAGCCAGCAGGTGAGCTTTGACAATGAGCAGTAGTAGCTGAATAGAGGAAGGGAAGAGGCACACTGGCGGGTGCTCATGGGTGAGAGGGCTCTGTTTGGGACAAACTCACAGTATTATTAGGGTTTGCTAGGGCTGTTGTTTGTGGATTTCATCTGGGGTTGTTGTCAACAAAATGGCAGGACAATTTTTAATGCCAAAATTAGGAGGTACTCCCTCCGTCCCAAAATAAGTGTTGCTGATTTAGTACAACCTGAGTACAAAGTTGTACTAAATCAGCGATACTTATTTTGGGATGGTGGGAGTACATAGTAAGGGGATGAATCATTGGTTAGATTTTAAACCATGTGAAGTTGCATGTGTTATGGTAATAGACGAACTATATATATCAGGAGTTGCTGGTAATTTTATTGAGGTAGAGATCCTACCTACAATCCACATTTTTACTAAGCTCCTTTTATGGTGTCATGCAGGTTGCACTCCCTTACACTGGGCTGTTATAAGAGGAAGTTTAGAAGTTTGCACCCTTCTTGTACATGCAGGCACCAAGCAGGAACTAACATTGAGGGATAGAGGTGGGTTTACTCCTTTGCAACTTGCAGCAGACAAAGGTCAACGGCATCTTTCCAATATACTTGTAAGTTTTCTCCTGGAATTGTTACTTGACTTATAAGAGATAACATTGTTTGACCCAAAAAATTAACTAAATGCTAATGTTCACTCTGCTGATAGACTACTGCAGCTAGATAGGCATGGGCTGTGGTAAATATTTGCAGTCAAACATCGATATAAACTTGTATTTGGATTGGTGCACTCACATTTGTTCATATTTCCTGTTTTCCCTACTTCTTTCTCTCCTTCCTCTTGGAGATGTTTTCCGACAAAATGACTTAAGACTAATTACTGTGTGCACTATGTACTAATCTTCTGAGCTCCACTAATGGAAGTTTCATTTCTCCGCTTTTAGTCTAATGCTACAAAAGTAAGCTTTGGAGACAAGTACTGCTCAGGGAGGCTGGGCAAGGTTGGATACACACCTATCCTGTTTTCTTATCTTGTTATCCTCATGATCCTTTTCCTGAAATCAATTGTTTTTGGTGAGTATTGTTTGTGAGGTTTTTGTTATTGATGTTCAAGCTTAAGACTTGTAAAGCGTCGTTCATGATCTGACCTGATTATGAAACCTTTCCAGCATCTGATTTTTCTAGAATCACTGCTGCTGTTGGTCTTTGGTCATGGGCTGCTATTTCTCTTGCCTTGGCGTCACAAGTGGTGTTCTACAGAGTTAGCAGGTAGCCTACGTCATATGAAGTTTACTTAACTGGATCATTTGGATGCACTGTTTGGAATCTTTTTACCACTAATGATGCTTGGCGATTGCTGTATTATGTAAAATATTTAGAAAGATGATGAGGAAAACATTGAACACTTCTTTCAAACGTTAATAGTCCAGAATTACCCCTTTTTTAATTTTCAGCAGCTGATTTGTAGATGTTAAGTTTGTTTTCTTCTAAAGTACTCTGTCTGCTTACTGCTTAATGTCAGTTTTGCTGTTTTGGTCTTTGGACAGAAACACTCCAGGCTACATCAAAACCAATACCGAGGGGGTTGATCCGAAGGTAGAATGTTCTACTAGAGTACTAGTGGTGTTCAAACTTTAATTTTTGTACGCAAGCACTTTAAGAAAATGGCCCACCTCAATATTTAAAGAATCTTGTCATAGTGATTCTGTGTAAAGTAAGAGTTCAGACTTTAGAGTTCAAACTTATTATTGCAGTTGGTACATAGTTTTTTTTTTGAACCGGGCATTACCCCTTTCCATTACTGCGACATAACGGAAATACATCAAATGTCCAGAGAAGAGGCGGGAAAGGGGAAAGCGAGTTCAGGCATCGCCGGGAAACCCACTGTAAGCACTCGCCATCGAGATTACCTACTGTGGGGCGAAAACCCGACGACACCATTACATCACCACATCAAACGAAACCAACGGACAGTTTAGTTTAAACTAGCCAGGCACAAAAGGCCTAAGCACCCAACCAACACATAACCAGCAAGAACAGCATCTCTTCCTGCATTCTTCTTCTTTTGCTCTGGCCTGGTTGACCTTCAGTAAGCCCTATCTTCCTGGTGCGCCACAGCACAGATCTGCATCAGTCTTGAGGCGTTGCTCTTCAGCATGTTCGCTCCAGTCCTCAGGTCCTCCGCATCTTTTTGCTGTTTCATCAGCCCTGCCCAGTAACAAAGAGCACAAGCAGAGAAAGTGCATTCAAATGGGTTTCTGAGAGGTATAAACTCAAAAGTAAATCTGTTGCGACACGTCCAAATCACCCAGCATACGGCAGCAATGCCCACTGTGTGGAACACTTCCCCTTCTGGGAAAAACGAGTGGCACCACGCATACGCTTGCCATAGGTTATTTGGACATAAATCAGTCCCAAACATACAAGCCAACACTCTCCAAGTTACCCTGGCCACTGGGCAGGTAAAAAAGAGATGCTGGGATGTTTCTTTTGCAGCACAAAAGGAACATTTAGGATTTTTTTTCCACCCCCTGTGCTTCATCACATCTCTGGTTAAGATTGCATTTTGTGATAATTGCCACATAAAGATTTGGATCTTCAAAGGTATACTCGCTCTCCAAATCCAATTATAGTTACATCCCACGGTGTGTCTCTCTAGGAAAGCATAAACTGAGCGAGTGGTGAAGTAGGTTTTAGGCCCCAGCCCCCACTTGATTTTGTCACCCTCACTAGAAATACAAATCTTACTGACTGTATCTACTATCTGATGCCACTGCTCCTCCATTTCATGATTTAGCCTTCTTCGAAAGAAGGACAGAGGATCAGCCGATAGGCAGGTATTGACAGTACATTCAGGATAATTGCATATAGAGAACAATCTGGGGAATTGTTCACAAAATGGTAATTGATCCCCAACAGGATCCCTCCAAAGCCTGGCAATATTGCCAGATTGTGTCACCACACATCTACCTGCCATATAAAGGTCTTTTCCTTTCTTCCCTGCCCCCCTACAATTCCAAAAGAGACCTATCATTTAACACCAGTTTTCTTTCTCCCCCCTCCCCTGGTGGCCCTAGAATGATGGACAGGGCTACCAAGTCTTCTTTTTCCACCCCTATCAGGGTTTTGACTCCTGGTCACTGGCCTGGAAATAACCACATGGGCTTTTGGACTTCTCTTTTTCCTAGACCTGACCAGAGTGAATTCCTCTTCTAATTCATCCACTTCTTCTGCCCAATCATCACTGACAGGAGTTATATCTCCTTTGCCATTAGTGATGTATAGCATTTTTCCTTCTACACCTTTTTCAGATATAGTATCTGTTTTTTCTCCCTCGCTTCTTATTCTATCCAACTCTCTTAAGATATCAATACTAGAAAAATTATTATCAGGGATCAAAACTCCCATTTTAGTTGCTCTAAGCATCATCTCATGATTAGACAAAACTTCAAAAGAGTTATGGGTCGGCTCATTACCTTCCAGATTTCTCTTTTTGGAGATAGCAGTAGCTTTATCCTGCACCTTGGCCTCCATATTCTGCATAGTCCTCACACTGAGTCTTAGACCAGCTTCTGGAATAAGAGGAGTAGGGATCACTTCCCCCATATCATCAGAAGATGTGGGGAACTGTACCATATAGTAAGTTTTCCCCCCTTCCTTCTCAAACTCCTCTCCCTCAAGCTCCTCGACCTGTTCATTTTTTTGTTGATCCAAATGAGATATATGCAAAGCAGATATATCTTTTGAAATCAAGTCATTACCAGAAAGATTCTTAACTACCTGTATCTCATCCATATGCTGCTCAAAAATCTTTGCAGCAGGAATTGTGATGGATTTAAACAGGTCCTCTCTTTCACATGCCTCATCAGCAATAGTTTCAATCAAGAGAGTATTATCATCAGTTTCCTCAGATTCATCTTGCTCATCTTCCACAGATTCAATCGGAGCATTTTTCCCAGCGTCCATATATTTACTGGGCCCAGTCCCTCTTTCTTTCTCATTGGACTTGGGGCATGTCCGAGGAAACTGTTTATCATATGATGAGTTCCCTTTTATATTGCCAACCTGGGCACTCTCAAGTTCTCTTTCTGGGTCTCTCACCAAAACCTTGTCAACTTCGTAAAAGAAGTCAAAGAAATGTGTGCCCAAGACTGCTTCTGCAACTCCAGGTAGTTCATCCACATTGCGACATCCAAGCCGGACCCGTACAAATTCTGGCTTATGTAGGGTGGCCATGTCGATTTCAAGTGGTACACCTACCAGAGATGCAACATAAGCCAAATTTCTCTCATTCCTCCTCTCCAATGGAACGTTTGCTACCTTGACCCAAGCTATTTCCATCACACCCTTAGCCCCAACATTAGCCGACCAGGGAACAATTTTCACCACCACTCCACAAGATTCCAGCGTCATTTTATCATTATAACAGGCTTTTTTAACATCTCTCTGATTAGGGAAGCGCATGACATAAGTATTGGGACCAATAGAGCGAGCAGTACAATGCCATTTGGTCCTGATATAATCAGAGAAAGCATCCTCAAGATCCTTCACACTAGCCTCTCCCTCGATCACTGTGATAACTACACTAGTAGCTCTCTCTTTTAGTTGCTTAGCAGTACATGAGTCTGGAATATAGAAAAACCCCTGGCCCTTGGCCTGAAAAGCACACATCGGTGCCACACTCCCATGGCAGGAAAGCAACACAAACCGATGCTAGATGTCCCATCTTACTGCATCTCTCACAAAAGGCTTGCGGACAACTAGCAGGAGTATGGCTAGTAGATTTGCAGATTAAACAGGGATCATAAGCTTTGGGTGGGGGCACCTGAGAAGAAGGCTCAGCTCGGGCGATGGAGTCGTAGATCTGCTTCTTCTTGTGGATTTCTGCAGCGTTGAGACCAGGAGGGTTAGGG